TCAGCCTCCCGAGTAGCTGGGATTACAGGCACCCATCACCATGCCCAGCTAATTTTTGTATTTTTAGTAGAGACAGGGTTTCACCATGTTGGCCCAGCTGGTCTTGAATTCCTGACCTCAGGTGATCTGCCCACCTCGGCCTCCCAAACTGCTGGGATTACAGGCGTGAGCCACCACACCTGGCATAAGTTTAATTCTCTTAGCAAGGCCATTTTTTAACTTTCTGCGGAAAGGTTACACTCGCCAGCAGTTTTGCCATGCAAGTACACCAAACAAAGGAGGGAAGCAATTTTTATCCCCTACGCAGTTTGTCCTTGCTACTGTGTCCTGTTTCCATTGGCTGGAGCCAGACCTCACAATCTAAACTAAAACCTGATTGGCTAATAGTTTAAAACTTTTAAAAATAGGTAAAAGTAATGGAAGGATAAAGGAAAAGAGGAAGTTGCTTACGAAATGACTTAGAAAAGTAATAATATTCCCAAACAGGAAAGGGACATAGGCTGCGAGCTGGGACGTGCCTGTGAGCACGTCCAGCACAGATATCTTGGTTAAAGTACAAGGACACAGAATGTACTACGTGCCTGTAAGCATGTTTAACAGCTACATAGGATAGGGCTTAACAAAGAGTTACTAGCACCAAGCAAGGAGGCTTGAAGGAAGTTAGTCTTTAAAAGAAACTATTATTTCTAACACTTATGATTTATTTTTTAATAAGAAGGGAAACTTTGAAGAGGAACTTTTTACTTTCTACACTCCATCTCAAAAAAAGAAAAAAAGAAAGTGGGGTCTTGCTATGTTGCCCAGGCTAGGCTGGAACTCCCGGGCTCAAGTGATCCTCCAGCCTCAGCCTCCCAAAGTGCTGGGATTACAAGCATGAGCCACCTTGCCAGGCCGGAAGGTGTAATTCCTCTTGTAAACACATGATACAGGCCTGGTGCGGTGGCTCACACCTGTAGTCCCAGCACTTTGGGAGGCTGAGGCGGGCAGATCACCTGAGGTCAGGAGTTCGAGACCAGCCTGATCAGCCTGGCATGGTGAAACCCCGTCTCTACTAAAAATACAAAAATTAGCCGGGCGTGGTGCGTGCACGTGTAGTCCCAGCCTACTCAGGAGGCTGAGACAGGGGAATTGCTTGAACCCAGGAGGCAGAGGTTGTAGTGAGCTGAGATTGCACCACTGCACTCCAGGCTGGGCGACAGAGTAAGACTCTGTCTCAAACAACGACAAGAACAACAACAACAATAACAAACCAAAAAACCCCATGATACAATGATTTAAAACAAAAATTGTGCCATCAGTTTTTACATGAGGCCAGGGGCATCTGAGTCACCTCGTGGACCAATACCTGCCCGTTGGCTCTTCTTTCCCAGGCCCACTTTGGAGGCAGGTGCTTTCCTTCTGGCCTCCAGTTTCCATCTGCTGCCCCTCAGAGAGGTCTCTTTGTGCCATCTCTGTCCACGTGGGCAGTTTTTTATTACTCACGCCACCATATTTCTCTGGGACACAGAAATATGTGTATTTCTATTTCTTTTTATAACCCGGGACCATGTTGTAGAACTCTGCTAATGCTTCTTCCGGCTTGAGCAAAGCACCATTGGCATATTAGACATTCTGGGGAATTATCTGTAGGTATCTGTGAACAAATTGCACTTCCTGCTGTCATGAGAAGGGGCTCAGCATCAGTTCCATTCCTGTTTTTTTTCTGTTTTAGATGTCGGTCCCAGGAAACCCTGTTCACATAGATGAGCAGGTAGGACTGGAGCTTCTGAGTGCCGGGGTCCCTGGAGCCTTCTGCAGTGCCCTGGGAGGGTGACTGGGAAAGGCCAGGGGGCAAGAGCTGCCAGGGGCCTCCTCAGATTTCCCAGTTTTTACAGAGTATATATGGGAGTTGAGGTCTGGGGAAATGATTTTTAAAAAACTCTTCCTGCCCCGCAGACTCTCTTGAAGACTCTGTGTCATGCCAGGGCCCATGGGTCACTGTGAAGATTGGACCCTGCCACTTGATGGAACCCCTGTGATGCTGACCTGCGGGGATGTGGAGCACAGACCCTGGGGAGGGTACCAGAACCTCATGGGACTGGATGGCCGGCAGCGAGGGGCGTCCAGTAACTGTTGGATGCAGAATTGAATTCAGTCACCCGCACTTATTTCCTGTGCTCGTCTTGGCTGGGTTCGCGGAGATACACTCTCTAGGAGCAGACGCTTTGGTGAGGAAGACCAGGCGAAGAAGGTGATTTTTGCTGTTGGACGTTCTAAAGACAGGGCAGGGGTATGCGGGGAGAATTGGGAGAGGCAGAGCCGGGGAGGCCGGTTTGAGGAGGGGACATTTGAGCCGAGATCTGATGGAGTGAGGAGCCAAGCCAGGCAGATATCTGAGCGAAGAACATTCCAGGCAGGGGAGCAAAGGCTGGGACGCAGCTGCAAATGTGGTCCGGGTTAGGGCCAGTCAGGAGGCCAGTGGCCGGGAAAGGTGGGGTGGGGCCAGAGCAGTCATTAGGCCACCCCCTAAGGACTCATGCTTTGACTTGGATTGACATAGAGAGCTGCGGGAGGGTGACATGATCTTAATAAAAGGAATGCTCTGGCTGCTGGGTAGAGAAGAGAGTGAGGGTGAGGGATTAATGGTGGAGCTAGAGGGAGCCCAGTGAGTGCCGGGAGCCCAGGGTGGCAGAGCTGTGGTGCAGGGTTGCAGGGTCCTGGAGCTAGGGATGGAGGCTGTTTTCGGGCAAGTGGCCTGGTCGGCCTGTCCTCGGAGAGGCGGTGAAAGCAGAGACTGGAAGGCGGAGAGCCTTGCCGACCTGTGGCCGAAGAGAGCTCTCTGGGAGACAGCCACCGGTGGTGCAAAGGTCCTGGGGTCGGCCCAGCTGGGCCGCAGCTCCGGGAGGCGGCGCGAGAGAGC